TGATCCTGATGGACCGAAGCCTTCTGCCGGAGGGGAGTATCTGAAACAGAGAGTGTCCAGGGTGGGAGGAATCGGCCATAATCTTCCTCGCTCGCCTCATGGTCCTTGTCGTGTGCAGGTCCTCGAGGGTTGGTAGATTGCAGGCAATTCCCTTCTCAGCAGTGTGGATGATACGCTGCAGTCTGCTCTTGTCTTTGGCAGTGGCAGCAGCGTACCAGACGGTTATGGAGGAGGTGAGGATGGATTCAATGATCGCTGTATAGAATTGCACCATCATTGTCTTTGGCAGGTTGAATTTCTTCAGCTGCCGTAGAAAGTAAATCCTCTGTTGAGCTCTCTTGGTGAGGGAGCTGATGTTCAGTTCCCACTTGAGGTCCTGGGAGAGAATGGTGCCCAGGAAGCGGAAGGACTCTACAATTTTGACTGGGGAGTCTAACAGGGTGATGGGGGTGAGGGGGGCTGCATTCTTCCTGAAGCCCACAACCATCTCAACTGTCTTTAGAGCATTTAGCTCTAAGTTGTTCTGGCTACACCAGGTCACCAGGTTGTCAGCTTCCCACCTATAGTCAGACTCATCCCCACCAGAGATCAGCCAAATGAGGGTGGTGTCGTCCGCAAACTTCAAGAGTTTGACGGACATATGATTGGAGGTACAGCTGTTGCTATACAGGGAGAAGAGCAGTGGGGAAAGGACGCAGCCCTGAGGAGTTCCGGTGCTGATGGACCTGGAGTCAGAGATTTGTGTTCCCAGCTTAACGCACTGCTTCCTGTCAGACAGGAAGTCTGTGATCTATTTACAGGTGGTGTAGGGCACGTTCAGCTGGAAGAGCTTGTCCTGAAGCAGGGCAGGGATGATGGTGTTGAATGCAGAGCTGAAGTCCACAAACAGGATCCTGGCGTAGGATGCTGGGGCGTCCAGATGCTGTAGGGTGAAGTGGAGGGCCATGTTAACTGCGTCGTCCACAGACCTGTTGGCTCTGTAGGCAAACTGAAGGGGGTCCAGGAGGGTCTGTGATGGCTTTGAGGTGTGCCAGGACCAGGCGCTCAAATGACTTCAATACCACAGATGTAAGGGCGACCGGTCTGTAATCATTTAGTTCTGTTGGCCTTAGCTTTTTGGGCACAGGGATGATGGTGGAGGGCTTGAGACAGGCTGGTACATGGCATGTCTCCAGAGAGGTGTTAAAGATGTTGGTGAACATCGGAGACAGCTGGTCAGCGCAGTGCCTGAGGGTGGCTGGAGAGACAGAGTCCGACCCGGCTGCTTTGCGTGGATTCTGCCTCTTGAAAAGTCTATTAACTTCTCCCTCCTGAAAGGAGAGAATCGTCTCTGTAGTATGGGTGGGGGGTGGGGCCTCTTGGGTGGGAAGGGGTGGTTCAGGACAGTCCAATTGTCTTTCAAATCTACGGTAGAACTCGTTCAGGTCGTTGGCTAGGCGGGAGTTGTTAGTGGTGTGGGGGGCTCTGGGTTTGTAGTTGGTGATCTGCCTGAGCCCTCTCCAGACAGAAGCAGCGTCGTTAGTAGAGAACTGGTGTTTTAGTCTCTCTGAGTACAGTCGTTTAGCCTCTCTCACCGCTTTGCTAAACCAGTTCTTCGACTCCTTGAATCTGTCTCTATCCCCACTCCTAAACGCTTCCTCCTCCAACCTCAACCTTCTGAGCTTTGCTGAGAACCAGGGCTTATTGTTGTTAAAGTTCACCCTGGTACATGTTGGGATACACCAGTCCTCACAGAAGCTGATGTAGGACGTCACAGCCTCTGTGAGTTCATCCAGATTATTGGTAGCAGTTGTGAACATATCCCAGTCAGTACAGTCTAAGCATTATGGATTAGTGTGCTTATGATAGGTCCGCAGGATTCAGATCTCATTCGCAGAACAATTCTATGCAGAATCACGGAAAGAATCACACACAACCTTTATGCTTTAATCAATTTTATTTTCTAGCTAAACTTTAATTTTTGATTAATATGAGAACTCTCAAATATCGTGATTTCAACACAGCATTAACATGGTACACATCAAGATTGCGTTGTTTCACTTCGATAACGGCACATGTGGTTAATTCCCGACGCGTAATGCAATTGATCGATGCATAAATATTATATCAAACCTTAACTCTATTATATGCAAATTCGTATACTTGAATTGTTACACGACACGGCATTCGATCATTGATCATATGCGACCCTTAATGCAATTCTTGTCACGTTAACCAGTAGGACGATTGATTATTATGCAACTCAATGACATCTGAAAAGACACTCAAACCATTATTATTTATAAAGGCACAAATATGCGTTCATAGATCCGTCATTTCATTCATGGATACCATCAAGATTATGCAGAGGGAAAAAAATAATAACTCAAATGCTTCTAATTTGACATTATCAACGTAATTCAATGGGTGGCGATGTTTCCCTTTGAGATCCTTATCAGCTAATAGTTGACACATTTATCATGAGTCTTCTTGTATGTTTTAATATGAGTGTTGTTGATTTCTTGCGTTAAGCAAACGCCTAGGTTGACATTCCTTGTAAAAAAAAACAATGGTTGTGCGTTGTGTAGCGGTGGGGGAGTGAGGGGGGGAGTGTGGGGGAGGGATGGGGCATACGAACAGGCTGCCACAGTTTCTGTGCACCGCTGGCTGGATGAGTCAGCACGATGCTCGCCGTCGTTGCACGATGATGGGTGTCGAGTGTGGGCCTGCTGCCCTCTCAGCGCTGGTGCTGATGGCGCGCGCTCCCTCTCCTTGAAGATGCGCGAACACGCCGTGCTGGTTCGCTGACAGCAGTTCTAGCCACTGCTGGATGAGCTGCGCCGGCGCGCGCTCTTTTCGCTGCTGAATCGAGCCACGTCGCACGCGCTCTCTCTGTGGAGATGCTGACACTTTGTTGGCGGCTGGCCAAGCTTTTCCACTGCTGTGTGAGTCGAGTCGCACGCGCTCTCTCTGTTGAGCTGTGCGAACGCGCCCGTGCTGGTTCGCTGACAGCAAGTTTCCTCCACTGCTGTATGACTCAAGTCGCACGCGCTTGCTTGGCGGTGCTGTAAGCAAGCTCTCTTTCCGCTGCTGAATGAGCCACGTCGCACGCGCTCTCTCTGTGGAGCTGCTGACACTTTATTGGCGGCTGGCCAAGCTTTTTCTTCTGTTGAGTGAGTTGAGTCGCACGTGCTCTCTCTGTTGAAGTGCGCGAATGTGACCGTGCTGGTTCGCTGACAGCAGGTTTCCTCCACTGTTGTATGACTCAAGTCGCACGCGCTTGCTTGTCGGTGCTGTAAGCAGGCTCTCTCCACTGCTGTATGTTCTCGTTTGAGGCGTCGGCTTGGCTGCTCGTGCTGGCAGATACAGGCTCTTTCCGCTGCTGTATGGCTGGCACTTGATGTAGGAATAAAGTTTGGAGTGATACTTTGTTCCCTGCCTGGACTCACTTTCATTGATACATCGCGACTCAGCGATCCTCCCTACTCAGCGAGGCGAGGAGCCAGCCGTTCCATGCGACTGCTTGACTGCTGGACTGACTTCTTGCCGTTGATCCGTCTCGACTGCCTTGACTGACTTGACTTAACCGTTATATTAAAAAATACTCTACGCTCTGCGCAGTGAAAGGGGGGGGGGGGGGCGTGGTCTGTGTGTGTATTTGTGTGTCTGTGTTTAACAATTATGGAGGGGAGGAGGGGGCGACCCTTCCCTTGACTGGTTTATTACTGTTTATTGCTCATCTCATGGATTTTCAGGTTTAATGGCCCTGTAACGATGGGAATCTGGTTTTCGTGTGTGGCTGGCTTACGTGTTTTATTAATTATTTGTTTTTGTCACTTAAAAAAAAAGAATGATATATATAACGGCAAATATTATTGTTAATCTTAATTTTGGTAAAGGCTCGATATCCAACACCAAGCTGCTTAGCAATGGTCTTGTAGCCCATTCCACCCTTGTGTAGGTCTACAATCTTGTCCCTGATATACTTGGAGAGCTCTTTGGTCTTGGCCATGGTGGAGAGTATGGAATCTGATTGATTGATTGCTTCTGTGGACAGGTGCCTTTTACACAGGTAACAAGCTGAGATTAGGAGCACTCCCTTTAAGAGTGTGCTCCTAATCTCAGCTCGCTACCTATATAAAAGACACCTGGGAGCCAGAAATCTTTCCGATTGAGAGGGGGTCAAATACTTATTTTCCTCATTAAAATGCAAATCAATTTATAACATATTTTTTTGTTGTTATTCTACCCTATCCCAGAGTCCTCTGGGATAGGGTAGCGGTAGACGGTGTGTCCTGACCACTGGATACGCCGAGCCTTAGCCCTCAGCAGGGTTGGAAAGCTGGTCCAGGGTCCTAGATAGTCTTCAGCCTGGGCATTGGTCTTCGTGTAGGGAGAGAACTCCCTGAGCTCTGCGCGGTCACCCTTATACTCGTTTGTGGCCAGGTATAACCAATCCCACATTCCCACGTGGAACTGTCTGATTGGTTCTCCCCAAACTGCCTACGATCCACTTCACCTCGTCTGACCCCAACCGTTATGTACACCGAGGTAACGCTGCACTGCCCCCTTGATACCTGGTGGCAATGCAGGTTACCGAACAGTGCGTAGTTAACACCTCTACATATATATGGAAATCTATTACATTAAAAAAGTCAATATCACTCTTAATATAAATTCTTGGAAAAGGCAATTATACAACATCACTCTCATCATCACCGTATCGTTGTCACGGTATCACTGCTGTATCGTTATCATGGTATCATCATCGTCGTATCGTTGTCACGGTATCATCATCACCGTATTGTTGTCACGGTACCACTGCTGTATCGTTATGATATCATTATTGCCGTATTGTTGTCACAGTATCATCATCGCCGTATCGTTGTCATGGTATCATCATCGCCGTATCGCTGTCACGGTATCATCATCGACGTATTGTTTTCACGGTTTCACTGCTGCATCGTTATCATGGTATCATAATTTCCGTATCCTTGTCATGGTATCATCATCGCCGTATCGTCATCACGATATCATCATTGCTGTATTGTTGTCACGGCTTTCATCATCACTGTATCGTCGTCACGGATTCATCATCATTACCATTCTATCGTCATGGTATCATTGCCATATCATTGTCCCGGTGTCATCGCCATCTCGTCATCACGGTACATCATAGCTGGATCGTCGTCACGGTATCATCATCACCATTTTGTCATGGCGCTATGATCAGCTCTGTATTGTTTTCACAGTATCATTATTGCCATATCGTCGTCACGGTATCATCAACGTTATTACCTTATAATCATCATCGCCATATTGTCGTCACAGTATCATCGCAGCATAGTCATGGTATTATCATTGCCAAATTGTAGTCCTTGTATCACCATTGCCGAATCGTCATCACGGTATAAGCATCGCCATATTTTCGTCACGGTATCTCTATCGCCGTATCATCATCACAATATCATCATCATCATCATCGCTGTATCATCGTCCGGGAATCATCATTGCCATATCGCCGTCACGGTATCATCATCGCTGTATCATCATTGTGCTACGATCATATGCATATCGTCATCACAGTATCATCATTGCTGTATCGTCACGGTATCATCATCGCCGTATCTTTTTCGCCGTATCATTATCACGGTATCATCATCGCCGTATAGTCACGGTATCATCATCGTCAAATTTGTAGTCCCGGTATTATCATTGCCGAATCGTCATCACAGTATTCTCATCGCCGTATTGTCGTCATGCTATCACCATCACCGTATCATTGCCATGGTTTCATCATTGCCGTATCTTTGTTACGGTACCATCATTGCCGTACCGTAGTCGCACTATCATTATCCCCGTATCATTGTTGTCGTGGTGAACCCTAGCCGTAGCTGCCCGACATGGTGATGCAGAAGAGGCTGCCGGGGATGCAATCATCGCCCCACTTGACTATGAGGATGGAGTTGCCCATCTCCGGCACCGTGTAGGTGACGTTGTAGATGACGTTGCCGGTGTGCTTCATGGCGTGCGGGGTCCGTTCACCCCCATCATCAGCATGTCGGTGCCTGTTGGAAGCGGTGGGGGGGAAGAGTGGTGGTGCAGTGGTTCACGTGCTGCGCTACAAACCCGGCAACCTGATACTCCGATATCTGAGCCGGACCTGTGCCTTCCCTAGGTTGACTCATTCTTAAATTAGTACCTGGTGTGGTGTGTAAAGCATCAGCCCTGTCGAGAAAAAGGCGACTGAGCGTGGTGCTGGCCACCCACCCTGTCCCCTATCGACCTTTTTAGGTGATCACGAACAGAATTTTCCCTGTCTCCAGGGGGGCCTTTGTGGTTGGAAGGGGGGACTGGCATGGTGTGAGCAGGAGGGACGTAAATTACTCGGTGTGAAAGGTTGGATTTAGTGACTCACATGTTGGAAAGTGTTGCAGGATACATGCGTGTGTATGACTGTTCTCCCTGGTTTTGCAGTTGACAGAGCTACATGTTATGGGTACAGTTAGCTCCTAGAGAGGAGCTGTGTCTGTGTTGAAGTTCGTCGTCAGTGCAACACCGAGATCTCCGAACAAGAAACGTGACAATCGCCAAGCCCACTTAAGCATCTCTCCAGGATTGAATTTATGCTGTGATTGCGAGGGTTGGCAGTAGCTCTAATCGGCGGCACGCCTCGTGGCAGAGCCACCCACTGCCACCTTCACAGTGGAGATTGGTCGACATTTCGGCGTGCCATAGCAGAACCACTGACCAGAGTATCCACCACACAGTCGTGAACCTCTATGGGAACTATGCGAGTCTGTGAGTCTCTTTATGAGTCTATTAGTCTCCATGTGAGAGTTTGTATGATCACACCCTGTTCCCTTGTGAGTGGAACCTCAAACTCGCACACAAAACCCCCAAACCCCACACACAAAACCCCCAATACAGAACGCCCAAACCCCCCACACGGAACCCCCAAGACAGATGCCCCAAATCCTCTCTACAGCAGGGACGTGCGGTCAGGGAAGGCAGGGAGGCAGAGCCTCACCTGTCATAATCCAATGTAAATAGCGGTTTCGAAAAGTAAAAAAAAAGAATAATCTAGTAAATAAAAAAATCTCCAAATTTGCGAAGCTCGAATGCAAATACAAGAAGAGAAGAGAGGTCAGGCAGCGACGAGCTCAGCCTGCCCTCTGATTGCGCAACCCCTCAGTAACTGGATTGAGCTCGGACAATAAGCGCGTGCCTGTTACAATCTCAGTATGTCACCAATGTAATGGTTGTAGACCCCTTCATTTCATGTTCTCGCCTTCATGTAACTTATTTCACGTATATGTATGAAGATATCTAGGCTCGCTGGTCTCGTCATGAAACTGCAATGAAAAAGCACCAGGGGAGGCAGCTATCACATCTGCCTCAGTGACGGGGATGTATCTAACACGCCCCCCTCAGTTAGGACACGCCTGCTCAGTGAGGTCACGCCCCCTCCGTAAGGCCATGCCCCCCTCAGTGTCTGAATCAGGCCCTGACACTAGCCAGTGCCTCACGAGCCATTGACCTCACCTCACGTCACTGCACTACAGATTCCCAAACTCTCCACACAGAACTCGTGAACGGAACTCTCCTGGTTGTCCCTCATCTCAACCCCCCCTTCTTTTCAACTTCATGCAATTTCCTACTCTGTCACATGCACTTTCACACTCTACATTTCATTCTCACGTTCACTGTCTCACTCTGTCCCTCACATTATCTCTCCCACTTTCACCCTCACCATCACATTCACTCTCATACTAAATCTCTCTCTAAATCACTCTTTCACTCACTCTCACACTCACTCACATTATCTCTCCACTCACTCGCATACTCACTGTCTCACTCTCATTCTCACACTCACTATCTACTCACACTCACTGTCTCACTCAATCTCTGATTCACTTTCACACTTAACATCACACTCACTCTCGATCTCTCACGCACACTGTTCAATATAACACTCACTAACTCTTACACACACTCACTCTCACTGATACTCACTCTCCCACTCACTCTGACAATCACATTCACAAACTTTTTCACTCAAGTCTCACTCACTACTTACACCACGAATGGTTGGGGGGTCACGTGGCCACTCGTTGAGTGGGAGGGGTCTGAGGGTCTGACGCACCGGAAACAGAGGGGCGTGTCCATAGCCGTGAGGGAAGTGACGTCACTGCACACGTGACTTCCGTGTAGTGAGACGTGCAGAGAAGGTAGCTGCAGTAGCAGCACAAAGAGCTGAGCTCCTGTTACTATTCTTTACGGGGATTGGAAACGAGGAGGAGGCACGGTGAGACTCCATCTCACACTCACCCACTCACTAACTCACTCACACACTCTTAAAGGCACTCTAACATTCACTGTCCCTCTCACTAACACTCACTCTTTCACTAAAACACTCACTAACTCTCACACTCAATCACTCAAACTCACTCTCACACTGACTCTAACACTCACATTCACAAACTTTCTCACTCAAGTCTTACACTCACGGCACGAACCGTTGGGCGGTCACGTGGCCACTCGTTGAGTGGGGAGGAGAGATAGGGGCGTGGCCATAGCCGTGGAGGTGAGTGACGTCACTGCACACGTGACTTCCGTGTAGCGAGACGTGCAGAGAAGGTAGCAGCAGTAGCAGCACAAGTTGCCGAGCTCTTGTTGCGATTCTTTACAGGGAGTGGAGACGAAGAGGAGGGGGCACGGTGAGACTCGCGCTCACTCACACACTGTCCGACTCGCTGTTTCACTCTCAACCTCTGTCTCACACTCACTGTATCACTCTCACATATTCTCACATTCACTAACGTACTCATTCTCTCTCACATGCACTCTCTCACTCTCACAGTAACTCACTATCACACTCACTCTCTTACGCTCCCACTCAATAACTCACAAGCATTCACTCTCATGCTCACATTCACTATCTTACTCATACTCATTGTCTCACTCGCTCACTCACATGCACTCTCACACACACTTTTTCTCTCCTGCTCACTCTCTCTCACATTCACTTTCACACTAACTCTCAAACTCATTCACACTATCTCACTTACACTGTCTCTCACTGAATCTCACTCACAGACACTCTCGCACTCTCCAACTCATTCTCTCACTCTAACTCACTCTCACACTCTTACTCTCCCGCTCAATAACTCTTACAAGCATTAACTTTCACACTCACTAACTCACACTCACTCAATCACTCACTTTATCATGCTCCCACTCACTCTCATTAACTCCCCCACTCATTTTCACATTCATTCACACTCACTCACACTCATTCTCTCATTCTCACTCACTCAATCTGTCTCACTCGCACACTCTCACTTACTATCACACTCACTGTAACTCTCACTCACGTTCACACACATTCACTCTGACACTAACTCTCACTTTACCATGCACTCTCACAACATCAATCTCAAACTAACTTTCACACTCACTCTCACACTCACACCCCCTCACACACTGATTCTCACACTCACTAACTCTCAAACTCACTCACATTTATTATCAATAACTCATGCTCACTCACTAACTCTGATACTCCCCTTCACACTATCTCACTCTCAAACTCATGCACTTTCACACTTGCTCTCACTATCTCACTAACTTTAAAACTCACGCACTCTCACACTCAATCTAATCCTTCCAAACTCTCACACTCACGCTCACTCACTTTCTCATAATCACTTTATACTTTCATGCTCACTATCAGTCACACAGGGTCGGCATCGTACCCACAACTTCCTGCATCCAGACTAATAGTCTACTGGTCGACTCATGGAACACTGGTAGACTAATAGTCCACTGGTAGACTACTAGTCCACTGGTAGACTCATGCACATGGACAACTGCCACTGAGAGTTCCCAATGGCTGGACCACATAGCAACTTCGCCCCATATTGCCAAAGCCTGGCCTTCCTCACTGTGGAACCCACGCCCTCAGCGATGTTGGCTCATTGCTCACTTACTGCACTTTCTCCAACATATTGCTAAAGTTTTGATTTAAAGCTTTCGTGACTGCAGTAATTCATATTCTTAGTTCTTTCGGTAAAGTCACGTTGAAGGGAAACAATAAAATAATAAAATATATATAAAACAATAAAAATTATCACGACATTTTTATTATTATTCTTAGTTTTTTCGGTAAAGTCACGTTGAAGAGAAACAACAAAATAACAAAATATATATAAAACAATAAAAAATTCTCACGACGTTTCGACCATAACTCAAACGGTCATCATCAGGTGATGACCGAAACGTCGTGAGAATTTTTTATTGTTTTATATATATTTTGTTATTTTGTTGTTTCTCTTCAACGTGACTTTACCGAAAAAACTAAGAATATGAATTACTGCAGTCACGAAAGCTTTAAATCAAAATTTAAGACATTTTTATTGTTTTATATATATTTTATTATTTTATTGTTTCCCTTCAACGTGACTTTACCGAATGAACTAAGATTATAAGATTGCTAAAGGTTATACCGGGTGACCTGCATCTTTGTCTGTGTGTGTAGATGGCCAAGGCTGAAGAGAAGGTGGGCTCCAGGAGCGACGTGCAATGGAGTGCGCTGCCCACATCGGACGGCGTTGCCATCGCCAGTAGTAAAACCCCACGAGGTGATAGATATGATTAGAGAAGTCATGGTGGGGGACGTCATGGTGGCCATAGTTGAAAACAAAAACAAGCATGTGAATGGTTTTGGAATAAAAATGTTGCGAGGCAGGGTGGCACAGCAGGAACACTCCTCGTGCATTTATCTTTGGAGTCGGGATAATCTCCCCCTGCTCTACATGGGATTCCTCCAGGCTCTTCAGTTTCCTCCCACAGCGAAAGAAAATTATTAAAACATCCCAATGCAAAAAAATATAGTGTTGGTGATTATATGCAGTTCAGGCACTCAGTGGAGCTTTCTTGGGTAAACAAGCATCATACATTTTATTATCATTTCAGCAGGAAGGGCCCAATAAGCAGCCAGGTTATGTTTCATGGGTGTCCTGCGATCGTTTGGATGTTAAACAAGTCTTCATGTCAAAAGCGCAGTTACATAGGTGGTGATACCAAATTTGTCATTAGTCTGTTCTTCACATGTTATAGGAATACGGAATTGGTTACCAATCCAATGGAAAAAAAACCCCACTACATTGCTTAATGAACAAATTAAAGAAACGAAAACGTATTTAACAAAACAATATTATAACAATAGTACAGTGTTAATCATCATCATTGTTCTCATGTTTGCAGAAATCTTGAAGCTCTTTGGGGATTTCCTGACCCCCACCGAGAGAAGCGAGGTCCTCACCGTGAATAACGTCTGGTATTTCGGCGTCCATAACAAAGGCTTTGGCACCCAGAACCATGGCTACGATGATGTCTACAACCATTATGTCTCGGTACGACTCTCCTCAGGGCACGTAACACGTGGAGAACATACAAAGTCTGCACACTGACAAACACCATAATCATCTGCAGAACATCCGGCCAACATACCTGACACATTCACACAATCACTCTTACACATGCCACACAAAATATTGCATCCATACTCAGTGACTGAATGAGCAGTGACTGGATCAGTATACTTAGTTGATGTGATTGCTCCGCAGGTCGAGCATGAGCACCTCAATTTCCGGTATGAGGTGCTGAAGAAGGTGGTCGGACCTTACAGCCAGATCTTCAAATGCCGTGACCACAAGACCAACACCCGAGTGGCTGTGAAGATGTGGAGACAGTCATTCAGGTAAGACTTCACAATGGCTTGCATGGAGAAGGCAAGACAGTAAATCAATTCGATCTTTACGTGGGTAGTGTTATGGTGCTCATATGTGTGGGTTTTCTCTGGATTTATGTTTAACTTCTTTCGCGCCGTACGTAGCCCACTGTATTAATCGCAGGTGTGATGAAGGACAACTGTCTTTTAGAGCGAGCGACATACTGTGTGTTACAAGGGTCACTTCTTGTAATTAATATGAAGCTGTGGATTTCCGCTGTGCAGTGCTGAGGAAGACCACAGCCAGTGGATGGAGTACCACATCTTGCTCCAACTTCAGGACTGGGCTAATGATGATGTCAACGTTGTCAGAATCCTCGACTTTTTCACCTTCAGGGGTCACAACTGCCTCGTCATGCAGCTCATACCGAAGTACGTACCCCGCTGTCTGAGCAGCTCAACAGAGACATGCAAAGCTGGCTGCTCCACTCCATTTTCACCTCCAGACTTGCTCATTTTTCTACAGCCACGCCAACAACCGGCAGTGTGGCGGCAGTGGTAACACTCGTGCATCATACCAAGAGGTTGGTTTCGATTGCTGACTCGGATATAAGTGTCTGTGTGGAGTTTGTTCTCCCCTTGTTCTGCATGGAATTCCTCTGCATTCCCTGGATTCCTCCAATAGCAAAACACTCGCACACAATTTAACTGGCATCCGACAAATTTGCCAATTCTGAGGAAATACCTTAAAATTACTCAGTTGGGATTACACATAGGAACAATGTCACCCCGACAGGAGAACTTGGCAGGACCCTCGGGAAAATGTGTTTACATTTAGTGAGGCTTCCATATGATAAACGAGTATAATAATTGTTATTGTTGACTCAGCCCTTTACAGGATGGCACTGACTTTGTGTTGTTGTCTCTTTAACAGAAGACGTCTGTTAAGTGCCGTTGATTGCACGGCACCCCAGCACATGGAGATGACAATGGTGAAACTCTTCACCAAGTCCATTCTCAAATTCCTCATTCAACTCCATGCAAAGGGAATCGTGCATGGGGACATCAAGCCGGTGAGTGGAGACCACGTTCAGCGCAACTGCAGCATTAATTTGAGTTCCCATTCGGGGCTCGTCCTCGTAAAACCTAGACCCATTGATCAAAGCGTTAATGCATCCACTCTGTCAAACTGTCAATAGCTGCGGGTCATGATAACTGTCGTACAGAGGGTTATGTATGGGTGAAACTTAAGTTTAAAGGTTTTTTGCTATTAGGGACTCGCACAAGAGAAAACCAGACACGTCGAAACAAAGCAATGCCCAAATCATAGAGACACAAACCAGTGCAAGTAAAAGGAGGCTTTGCAAATAAGCAGCTGTGCTTTAACCTGACAGCTGCCCACCTGTTTTCATGCTGCTCATGCGCATGAGAATACGTTACCAACTTCATGCATGTGCATGCTTCTGCCTAACTCACACTCACAGCTACAAGCTCAGTTCGGCCCTCTTGTAACAATCGTTATTCAGGTATGATAAGAGCGCCCTCTTTTACGCCGGGTACCCAAGAGTGCTCTACATGAGATTATCGATTGGCATCATCTTATCTAAATACATTTGAATTGGCACCCCATTGGCAGCCGTCAGAAGACATTATCTTGAGTCGCTTTGAATAACCTTGGCAAAAGCATGTCATCTCCAATTCCCCTTTTAATATTTATTATGGTAATTTTGCTACATGATCAATCTTCTGCAGGCTGAATAGTTGTGCATGCCTGTAATTCAGCACTGTAGAGCCGCAGGTTGGTGGATCACACCAATGGTGTGAAACATCATCTGTGGCCCCTCCTCCTGCCTCAGAGTGGTTCTCGCTCTTCCAGACAGAGTGAATACTGCATGGCATTGGCGTATTACAAGTTGACATTATTATCATAACCTCTAAATGTGAATATCTTCTGCTGCCCATCGTCTAGAGGAACATGTCGATTAAAGAGCCTGGGGCAGGGACCATCCGGATGATGAGTTTTGAAAACAGCTTTTTGGTGGGACGCCAACGTGAGTCGTGAGTGTGTGGCTGAGTGTGAGAATGTGTGTTTATGCAGTTTGAGGAGCAGTAGTGTAGTGGTTAGCACACTGCACAACTAAACTGGCAACCCAGGTTCGAGTGGCGGTTTTCTGAACCGGTCATGGGCCTCCCCTAGGTAGACTCAGTCTCAAATGAGTACCTGGTGTGGTGTGTAAACAATGCCACTCAGGAGACAAAGGCGGCCAGGCACGGTGCAGGCCACCGACCCCCTTCAAGTTTCGTTCCAGACTTCATAGGTTGTCACTAATTGCACTTGCCCCAACAATGTCTAAGGCTACACGGGGGAACTTTTCTTTGTTTATGCAATGAGGAACCGTAGTGTTGGGGTTAGTCAACAGCACTACAATCCTGGTGACTGGAGTAAAATGCGCGTTTATGAATATTTGAACCAGTCCTGGGCCTCCCCTAGGTCGACTCAGCCATAAATGAGTACCATGTGCGGTGTCTAGGCACCACCACTTTAGGAGACAAAGGTGGATGGGCGTGGTGCTGGCCACCCATCCTCGTGTGTGTTGTTCAGGCCTTCATTAGGTGCTCGCTAAAAGCAAATTCCAGAGAAATTTCTTAAAGGCTATATGGGGACGTTTTGTGTGTGTGTGTGTGTACACGTGTTTGCATCTCTGTGCCTGTATGTGTGCATGTGTCTAGACCTATGGGTGAGTACATGTGTTTTTATACTTGTTTTTTCGTGCCTGTGTGTTGCTGTTTAAGGCTATATTGGTGATGTTTGTCTTTTGTAATTCACAGGTTCACAGATTTTTTGTTCCCACGCGTACCTTGCCCCAGAGGCGTACCTGGGCCACATGTCATCTTTCCCGGTTGACATGTGGGGACTGGGTTGTACAGTGGCCGAGTTGGCTACTGGACGCATCCTCTTTCCGGCCATCAACAAACACGACCAGCTCCCGTGTTATATGGAGGTATTGCCCACACAGCAGTAACACTGACAATTCCGTTATTGTCATCAATTTCATGACCAATTTGCTCTTGAAATTGCCCAACTCAGTCATTGCTTCTAACCACGTTCACTTCTCAGCGAGTATTTCCGCATCAAGGGTATTAACATAATATTCAAAATTGGTATGACCAATAGAACATGCGACAGGAAATAGTTCCTTAAAATTCCCTGAGCAGACCACTTAAGTCGTCTCTTCTGTGAGAAAGAGGCATACAAGTGCTCGCGACTGGTTGCAGGGTTGTCCACACACAAGCTACTGAGTTGCATACAACCGCGTGACAGAACCAATTACTCAGGCGTAGACCCGTCAAGGTAACCGTGAGCAGAACGCATAGATTTTTAGAGTTGGTGTTATGACTCGTGATAGATTATTGCGTGAGGCCACGGATTGGCCCAATGTCACCCTAAAACCACCTGAAAACAATTTGAATTGTCAGATGAACAAGCATTTATCGCGCCAATTATTGTTGTTCCATCTCAACTGCTTGTAATGAAGACAATTGTCACAACCATATAAGCAATTTCAAATGAAGCCACGGGACCCATAACCTCCGCTGTGAATGAGGCAGATGGTGCATTGTATTTTCTGGTTTAATACTGCAGGAAATACCGGGGCAGGTACTGGGATTGATCGGTGAACTTCTGCAACGTGCTGTGTACGCGGTATTGCTGGGCCATGCCAATAACACTGCCGTGTGCCTGCATGCGATAACCATCGGGAGTGGTAGCTGAGTGGTTAGCGCCCTGACCGTGTTGTGTTGAATGTTGGACCAGTCCTTGGCCTCTCAAATATCGACTCAGCATTAACTCAATACCTAGAGTGATTTGTAAAATAGCTACTGCGGAGTGGCCTTGGGTGCTGTGCCATCATCGGTAGGTGCTCACAGACAAAACATGCCACACAAGTGTGTCAATACTGTATGGGTGATCATTGTCTCTTTGTAAATTGTGTGTAGACCCTCGGGATGCCTCCTCAGAATTTGATTGATGGCGCGCCTGGGAGAAACAAGTACTTTGGTGAGTGAAGGGGCGAGCGGGGGAACCGCGTTAAGTTTGAGGCGGAGCTGGGTCTGTTAAGAGTTTAGTGGGGCATTACTTTGCATAGTTAACTACTTCCACACGTGTTTTTGCAGTCAATATAATTTGTAATGCTTTTTTGGGGAAGGGTTAGGCCTCATGGTGATCTGCCCAAAGTTGTGTCATTAAGGCTCTCCACCACCTGACACAGGCAAGCAAATTAAAGTACCATGAAGTGCAAGCGATTAAAGAGACGCCAGTTGTGACTAGTAATCATTATTTTAGTAGAATCATCTGTAATGTGAAGGGCAATGCTCAAAACCACGTTTAGCAATCAGATCGGACGTTTTTGGGAAGCTGCAGAGGCGAGGAGACGTTTCCTCCCTCACCTGCAATGTAGAAGGTCGTCACGTGGATCCCCACCCTGGCTGCTGTACATTGCGGGAACATATCTTCTCCCCTTTGCCTGGTCGCCTCTGAAGAAGAGGCAATAGTTCAGTGGGCTTTACCTGGTAAAAAATAATGTTTTGCTTGAAAGAGATTAAATCACAGTTAAAATAGCTCTTCTTTGTTTACCTTTAGGATTTATCATAGTTAATAATGATTGATTGCACTTGGTATTTGCGCTATCATTCTTAGAATGTAAAGCTATCACAAAGGAAGGTGCCTGCTGTGATTCACAGACACCAACTGCAGTCATTTCACAGTAGCGGGCATAACGCCAGCACGGTCATTTTATTACTTCACAAGGTCTGTAATGTCCCATTTTAAATCAAACAGCGCAAAGCATCATATGGTTAATACTGAAGTAGTAACCAGGGCGGCTTGCAGAATTTGAACCGTGAATTTCTGCAACAAGCGGTAAAAGCACTCCCACTGATCTATGTCGGAGCACTAAACGATTTTGTTTCTGCGCTGTGGGTGTACAAGGGTCCTGTGGTTTGCTGTGATGTTTTACCTGATCTGCATCGTTCCTGCAGATGGTTCGGGGATGCCTTTGATGTCCGGACAAAGCAGGGTCCCAGGCAGTCACCCCCTCTACCTGGCACTCGGGAGCCAGGACACGGAGTTCCACGACTTCATTAGCCGCTGCCTGGAGTAAGAACACACCCCCGCCCCCACCATACCACCGAGAGGTTTTCCCATTCAGTCACCTGGTAAAAAGAAAAGAGTTTAATAGTTTAACATCACTGGCGAAAGCTCCTCTTTGATCACTAGCTCCACCCTCTATTCTGATTATTCTTCATCTTCCAAGCCATATCTCCCATTAAACACCATTGTCCATAGTCTGGCATGTAAAAACATCCACTTGCATAGAGACTCACAGACTCATGTACTTACATGGTCCATGCACGTGTAGTGACTCAGTCGGAGACAGGGTTCTTAAGGGACCTTCCTTATTCCACACGTCAGGAAACCACATGTGCCCTGCGTGCCTACGCACTAGTCACACATCCATGTTCTTCAAGGTACTACCTAGCTGGAACAGTCTGCAGGCTGTCTAGCTTGCGGCGTCTAAGGTGGTCAGAGACGGAACCGACGAAGGTGATGAACGGCGACACGGCGAGGGGATCCACTTCCAGCAACAGCCCCGAGCTCCCGTCCCGGGCCCCCTTTCATTCGCCTGGCGTGGCCTCGCCCCGCCCTTGCCACGCCCTCTTTCTCGAACCTACTAGTGGGTTATCAGGCTTCAGATCGATTTATTCCTGGGCTTCCCTTTAGATCTTCCTCTGCTGATGTGTGTACTGACCCCTGCTGCCTCTGCCGCTTCCTCGTCAGCAGCCCGCGTTATTACACTACACACGTAAAGAGAGACCCATATACTGTCATACACTCACATATTCCATACCAATATCCGCCATTAGTCCCGAAGTGTGTGAGTTCCTCACACAATCCAGCCTGTTTAAACCTAGGATGGATCGAAGGAAGGCCAGCCTAAACGTCCCTAACAGGCACAGATGTTCCTTTAGAGGGGTCCACGTTTGACAAGCATCGAGAAGAGAGGGCATGACTGTGCCCGAGAAGATCTGAAGCTTCGTGTGGAGCGACAAACTAGGTAGCTTCCAAACAGCATTGCTCAGCCGATAAATAAATGCCGCCAAACTGCGGATTCAGAGTGAAACCTCTGCTGTCGAACCGGAGCTGGTCATAAGCACACTGGCCAGGTTTGGGAAACTCTCCACTCTCTCCACAACTGTTCCATGACCAACAGGGAGCTGAGGGTGTGGAGTGTATGATGATACAAAATACCCAGGCAAGTGCTTAGTTTTGGTGCAACTGATGGTAAGACCACACCTCTCAGTAGTACACTCCAGGTTCAACAGCTGTGCTTCCAACTTCGCCTCTGAGTGAGCAGCAATCACCAGATGAGCATACATAACTTGGTTGACCAATAGGGAGCCATTATTCGACCCCACCCAGGCATCGATCAGCCATCAAAGGCTCCACAGACTACGTGGTCAAAAAAAATGTTAAATAATGTGGGAGGCAGAGGACATCCCGTTCACACCCCAAGGTAAACAGGGAATGGCTCTGACTTCTGGCCACGTAGCTTTACCTGAGATTGCCCACCATCATGAAGGCCCTTAATGTCCACACACTTACATAGAGACCCACAAACTTGCATACACTTACATCAGCCATACATTTACAAATACATAGACAAATAGACTCGCATGCACTGACGTGGTCCATACACATATAAAGACCCAGACTCATACACTCACATGGTCTATACACTTATAGAAACCAATAGACTCACATACTCTTACATGAAAGCCCTTAAAAGGAACATATCGATATATGTATATCATTTATGTGGAGGGGGCTCGGTGAAGGATGCCACTGGGCAACGCCAGGCTACACGTACCTTGAGGCTACTGGACAGTTGTAAGCATTGACCCTCCAACAACAATTGAGGGTGGTGGAGCGATGTTCACAATGAGCGGACCACCAGGGGGACAAATACATCAAGGTGGCACAGTGGGGAGAACAGAAGGTTCATCTGCCAGTCATCACCAATAGTGGAGGATTTATGCTTCTCACTTTTTTATATAGTCAGGTCCTGCAATTTTTTTTTTATCAGGGCTCTATGACACAATCAGCCACTATTGAGTCATGACATAGCCAACATCGTGGCGTATAGGTTAGATTATTGCAACTTACTAGTCTACGGGACGTCTGGAAATAGCATTAGGAAGCTGCAGCATGTACAAGATTCTTTGCAAGATCCAACCATGTCCGTCCAGTGTTCACGGAGCTGCATTGGATTACACTTGCTAAACGAATACATCACATTCAATACACACAAAGTGCTTACCACAAATGAACCATAATGAACCACAACACCATTGGGGCAGTTAACGTTTAAATATAGATTGAAAACTACTTTTTTAACTCATGATTGAATGTAGTTTGTTGTCCTTCACCCGTACCTGCAATTGGCACGGTTGGCTATGTACGGTGCGAAATAAGTTGAACATACACACGTAAGTTAATGGACACAGTAAGATAAAAAAATGCACATAAATCCTTACATCATTATCACCCTTGCCACGTCTGCCACATATTTCTGTGTGTCTCAACAGATGGGATCCAGCTCTGCGGATGACACCAGCAGAGGCACTGGCACACAGCTGGCTGAGGGATGAGGAAATTCCGAGGGATGAGGAAATTCCGAGGGATGAGGAAGTGCCGAGGGATGAGGAAGTGCCGAGTCAGTGTGTCCCTGTTGTGGACACATCAATCCACTCAGAGGCATCCGCCAAGGAGGAGACAAGACAGTGGGGTGAACCCCTGCAGAAAGAGAAGAAGAAGTCACGTCTGGTTCGAGCATACAGGGCCGTATGCTCATTCTTCCGTGGCTTTAAGAAATGCACCGCATGCGACCATAATGCTCATCCTGGGCGCGTACACATTCCACACACCGTATACACACACGCTCGCCTAAGCGAATACATGAGCAACTTCCGGTGCTAGCATCAATATCAGATCCCATCTCCTGAGTTTTTTACCCCCACACATTTAGAATAAATCCCATCTTAATGACGGTAATTGGTTCCATGAATACGGTCATTAAGTAAGTTGGTAATTAAACAAGTACAGTCGACCCTTCGACATCGCAGGGGTTAGGGGTGCAGACCCTGCGATCTGGAAAAACCAAGTTAAATGTTTTGGTATCCTTGGTGAGCGAAGCAAGCACCTCCAGTTACTAAAGTTTTTAAGTTATCTCTACATTTTGATTTAAAGCTTTCGTGACTGCAGTAATTCATATTCTTAGTTTTTTCGGTAAAGTCACGTTGAAGAGAAACAACAAAATAACAAAATATATATAAAACAATAAAAAATTCTCACGACGTTTCGACCATAACTCAAACGGTCATCATCAGGTGTGTCGGTTTGCATAAATTTATTTTTAAAACGGCACATTTATTTATTTATAAAAAACGTTGGCGTCACGCGCAGCGATTGGCAGTTTGCCCAGGACTAGTCCATCTATTTTTTTGAAAAGAGGAGGGGGGAGACGAAATTTTTTATAATGTATGCTGTCTGAAAGCCACTGTAAGCGTGAACAATCAATCAAGAACTGAAATGATTTATCAAATCTTTCCAATGATTGCTAAGATAGAATCCATCTTCTCGGTTGAAATTGTCTCTGTGCTTGTATATGTGGATAGCCTCATGAACGAATCTCTCATGGAAGCCAGATGGCTTACAAAGAACCTCCGTCTTGGAAAAGTCAATGGCATGTGAGCCTACTGAATTAGAACAATGATCTGCTACGGCCGAGGTGTTGGTCCTACCGTGTTTAAGGTCTGCTTTATGTTCACGAATGCGGTCCGAGACATGGCGTTTGGTTTCTCCAATGTAACTACTACCACAGAGGCAACTTAGTTTGTAGACACCAGGGTATTGTATGTCCGGAATCACATTACCCTCCCCCCTCCTCTTTTCAAAAAAATAGATGGACTAGTCCTGGGCAAACTGCCAATCGCTGCGCGTGACGCCAACGTTTTTTATAAATAAATAAATGTGCCGTTTTAAAAATAAATTTATGCAAACCGACACACCTGATGATGACCGTTTGAGTTATGGTCGAAACGTCGTGAGAATTTTTTATTGTTTTATATATATTTTGTTATTTTGTTGTTTCTCTTCAACGTGACTTTATCTCTACATGTTCAGCCTTTGCGTGTCGTCTGCTGGCTTTTGCGTTCTTTTAGCAAACGTAACTTTTTACAAAATGTAACTTTAAAAAATAAATTGTGTATATTTATGGTATTGAAAGATACAATAGATTAATATTATACAGTACTGTACATATATTTTATGGATTTATGAGTCCCTAAACTTTTTGTGTCGTCTGCTGACCTTCGCTTGTCATCTGTGGCTTTCGCAAAACTCCCAAAAACTCCCCAAAAATTCCCATTTTATTTCTTATAACGACCCCGCAATATATTGAAACCGCAATGGGGAAAGTCGCGATGCAGAAGGGTCGACTATAATTTGGTCATTAGGCAAGTATAGGAAAAAATGTTAAAGGCTTAATTTGTTTCCATAGCATCAAAAGTTACCCCTTTTCCACCCATAAAACGTACTTTATAACGTTTAACAAATGTATATTATCAAATAAAGTTGCTAACAACATGATAAACACATAATATTAGAAGAAACATGGTTAATTCATTAATATTGCATTGTAATAAAAATCTACAAAGTTGGATGATAAAGCGAGACGAATATAGCAATACTGTATAGAGTAAAACACAGTCCGCGATGACACGCGAGATGCGTATGCAGGCTGAACAATGACTGAGGTGCATGGGAAGCATCTAGATTCGCCTTGCGTAATCTTATGCCGAGGCAGCCATACAACCGCTTTTTCCAACTCGCACGGCATAGTTCTATTCACTCAATCGCATTTATCCAATTCTCATCCGCGTTATAAAAATAATGTGTTCCTTAATACAATATTTGCGTGATGAAAACATGCTTTATAGCAGAACTGACTGTACACACTACACACACCAGACACATGGGACTAGCCCATTAGTGTAGTTAGCCCTACGCTGGGCCCTGCCATCCTGGTTTTCATCCGGGCAGTCCTCAGAGGATGACCTCGCCA